CGCCGTTAAAGTTGTTGATGTTACAGCAGCACCCTCCTTCAGTTGCCCGAGGATTTTTGGTGGTAGTCCTGTCGTTAGTCTCTTTGTTGGGAATCTGAGACTGGAAAAATAAATGTAGGAAGAAAATTTCTTAAGGAAAAGAAGGATTTGGACTTTAAGAGCAGATACCATTGTTTTCAATCATAACCTATTATTTAATGGATATGTGTTATTCATTAAAAAAATTAATATTTACTATATCTCCCATGTATTGCACTCATTCTAATTTTCACTTGATGCATTTGACAACCGAAAAGCTATGAAAAACAACCAATAAATGAAAACTGACTAAACTTTCTCTAAAAAATCACTGCAAGTGATTGGAAATTAGTTAGAAAGTGAAGGGTGTCTCAACTTTTTAGCCCTTTCCACTTTCTCAAAATTCTTGAAGTGAATGTATAGTGAAGGGGAGGAAAAAAAGAGAGAGTAGTTTTTTTTTTTTATCTTATAATTTAGTTTTTATTTTCTAAAATAACTATGTATTGCATCACACAAAACTTGACATTTTTACTTTTTATCATCCAAATTAAAACTAAATCATAACATAAAATAAAAACTACCTAGCACCTAGGTGGTACCTATCCTGCCCAGCTAAGTTTTAGGAGTGCCTAGGGGAGCGTAGTCTGCCCACATGGATTTCAACCATTAGACAATGATCATGATATCCTCCATTGCGACCTCCGCGTCCTCCAATCTCCTCCAAACTCCAACTATGAACATCTTCTCTCTCTCCCAACTTTTAGCAAAACCTCCTCCGCACCACTTAAGAAATCTATCTTAGTGTCTGTCTAGCTCCTAAGTTTTCTATAAAATTGCATTTACTATCAGTAATTGTAATTAAAAAAACTAAAGAATAGGAAAACACCTAGACCCTGCTTACGCTTCTGGCTAGGTGACTAGGCCCCGCTTAGGCTTCCGCCTAGGAACCTAGGCTCTAGGCGTCGGGCCTAACGCCTAAACAAAATGTATTGTTCATGATGACTCATAAAAAACAAAATGTATTGTCCATGATGACTCATAATCTTTTATAGTTATCCATCACGAAAGGAGCCTAGCACTTTCTGTAACCTTACTTCGTACTATAAAAAACAAAATGTATTGTCCATGATGACTCATAATCTTTTAAGTTATTCATCGCAAAAGACTTTGCACTCATATTTCTTGTATTACAAAAATAGTATGGAATCTATAATACAATATAACCTCCCTTTGACTTGTGTCGATGCAATTGATTTGTGTTGGATTTTTAGATGCGACAAGGACCAAAGCCACCAAGAAATCTTGGACTCATTGAATGATGACACCCAATGTGCAGGATTCAACTATAAAATATCTAATCTAATATTTCAGTTCAATTATAACAAATTCCATTAAGGTCAAACACAAAATGACAAGATTTTCTTGCTTGTATGTGTTTTCTTTATTTTAAGAAATGTTAGATGTTTTTAACCTATGCTAGAATAATCTTACATCCACCATGCTTAAGGGGGAAAAAACATGAAGGATTTATCTTGAAACGGGTAAAATTTCCTTAGAAATTTCATAATTTATCTCTATTGAAGACAATCCCTAATCAAGATGCTAATCTAATCATTCCATTGTCCAAAGTAATTGCTTAATAAAAGAATTACAGTTGTTCAAAAGCATGGTGCGTTAGAGAAATTCAAAATTTATCTAAAATAAATTTAGGCTCCATCTGGTAAGCAGTTAAAAGAAGGGTAAATAAAGGGGTTTAACCCTTCTTTAACCCTCAAACGGGTTAAGTTGGTCGAAGGGCTAATAAGCACTTCACTATGGTTAAAATTAGCTAACCCCTCATTTAGAGGGGTTAACAAACCTTCTCGAGCAAGCAGGTTAAGATGTATTCCCTCAAGAGGTAAGTAATAAAATTATGAGAAAGAATATCATAGTAACTACTAATTTAGGATATTTATGACAAGAATATCATAGTAACTACTAATTTAGGATATTTATGACAAGAATATCATAGTAACTACTAATTTAGGATATTTATGACAACTACTCTACTTAAACTTATTTATTTCTCGGACACAAAAATCTTAACCCTTCATCTCGACTATCAAATCTAAATGAAATTAAATTAATTTTAACCTCTCATCAAGGATTAACTAAGTTAATCGGTCTCCTTAACTCTCCTCTTAACCCCTTGCCAAACAACAACACCTTAGTGATTAAGTAGACGGATATAACTTTCACTAAAATCCTTGAAGAGATTTCTCTAATTACCATTTGGATCTGGTAAGCGAAGAAAGGAGGGGGAAAGGGTTTAACTAAGAGGGTGTTTGGGAGGGCTTAATTTCAGAAACATAAATATGTTGTTGTTGGATTTTGGATTTTATGATTAAAAAATTATAAAATTATATGAGCAGAATAGTCATTTGCTTGGTCAAACATAATCTATATAGGCAAGTTTATAACCTAGTTTTTCAAAAGTAGGAAATCCAAACTCTTCTGAATGAGATTTAAAAGCTAGCTAATTTAATACGTTTTAATACGTTACCAACTAGGTAGATACGAAAAAAAATTAGCTTAAAACTACTTTTACCAATAAATATTCCCCCAAATCACCCTCTTAGTCTATAGTTTGCCATCCTAAAAAGTTGGAATCGATATACCCTTATGCAATAGAAACTCCTTAAACATTTTTTGCATTTATGGAAACTTTTCATAAAATATTGTAGGAATTATACCTTGTTTATCTTGATCCAATTGGGAGGAGGAGGCTCCTTGAAGCACCGATCATTGCTCTTACTTTCAATCTCTGACCGACGATAACGAGGCCTAATGATTGTAAAGGCATCTCTTTTTACACGCTCCTTAACCATTTCAATGTCGAAAAAAGAAGCCACGGATGAAGGAATGGTGAAGTTCAGAGAGGGAAATGGCAAGAGATAGGTACAGAATGACTAAGATTTGTGCTTAATGAAATTGATTGGCCTTATTAATTTTTCAAGAAAAGAGAAAAATATCATTTCTAACAAACAGTTAATGTGATTTGGAACGATATGCAACTATTAGTGAGACGTGGAAATAGATAGGTAGACTTTGGACGGTCAGATTAAATAAGACGCGTGTCCCATCTTGCCCATCTTGCCATATAATTCTCCGTGATTTTCTTTAAATTTGATGTAAATTATGAGTGTATTTGTAAATAGTGCACTCACATTTGTGTTCAAGTGAGAACTTGAAAATATATTTGTTAAGTTCTTCACTTCTAATATTGAAGATTCAAGGCAAGTATATATAATTGAGTAATTAGATCCCTTATAGTTAATGACTTACCATAACTGATGATGAAGATATTTCTCACTGTCATAGCAAACACTAACAAATCGGGTGATGACCAAAACAAGAAAGTTTATGAGTGCATTTAACAAGTGCCTTGCAAGAACCCAAATAGTAAGTTCCGTGATGGAGATCAAAGTGTTAGTTTTTTGAGTTTTGTGAATTCCCTCAAGATTAACTAAGATTAATTGTAGTGTTTTTTCCCTTGGAAACCACCTTAAAATAGGGCAATTATTCAGAAACCATCTTTCCATTTCAATTTGTACATAAACCACCTTTAAAGTGAATTTTTGTTACAATCAATCACCTTCCAATCAAATTTTCACTAAAAAATCAAAAATAAGCAAAGTACGTGAGCTATTTTCTAACAAACGTGAAATGTGCTTCACCTCAGTTTAACCAAATCTTTTTCTTTCAGTAATGGATGCAGAATCCTCCCTAAAAGGTCCACACGCTCCCCAACTTAAACCATTTTCGTTGTTAATTTAGACAATATGGACTGCCAACAATGTCAACAAACAAAGATGCAAGTGTTATTCTTGAACCAGCTGTTTACTATTATGTACTTATAAGAAATGTAAAGGCCAGATCATAACCAAAGTGTCAAGTACAAAGCCAGCATAGTTTCACGTGAAAAGCCGTTGAAGGTTTTAACCTAAATGATTTTCATTGAATCATAGATTTCTTGAGACAACAATAATTGTCAATAATCCATTAAAATTAAAGTGAAAAATAACCTTCTATAGGTGGATAAACTATTAGTATTTTGATAAGGCAATTGCATGAATACATGCAAAACAAAGACACAAGCAGAAAGTATAAAATATCCAACTTCCCATAAACAGTCAATCTAGTCCATGAAAATTAAAATCAAATTGTTTCGCTGGCATTTTTTGTATAAATTTGAAAATGAGAATAAGACAATATGAAAGATATACTTACTGGATGAAAATTCAACGAGTTAAGGCAATACATGTCACTGCCTTCCCTGTTGGATTTGAATGTCAAGTTCATGCTTTGCTGTGCATCAACCAGATGGTAGACACCGACCCTCCCCTCTATTGATCTCACCTAGATAGAGGGAAAGAAGAATCCAAATTCATTGGTTTTAAAAGTAGGGAAGAAAAACCAAGCAAGCTTAAAATGCAGTGGAACTTTACCATCTTTGAATTATGTTCTGGAACTTTTATCATGTTGACCAGGTGTTTGTCTAGGTATTAGGATGAAGGTCTGGGTTTTTTCCCGCCTAAATGACAGTGCCACATCAAATGAATGAACGAAAATTAGATACTGATCATAAATTTGAGATTATTAACACTATAGTCCCACTCGGCTCCTTGATTAACATCATGATTATTGCTATGAAAGATATTTTCTAACCAAACAAAGCATGTCATTTGTAGACACACGCCACTACCCCAAACCATCGGTTCAGTTCCTCACAGATACCAGCATTCTAGGTCTTATGAAAAAGCCTTTATTACTTACTATGCTACAAATCATCTCATATATGGATTGCAAAATACAGAGGATGGTTCTTTCTTTTTGTGAAGCTTCTTGACTCTGCGCCATGTTCCATAGCTGATCCTAATTTTAATACAAAGGAACTGGATGATGATGACAGTGGCGGAAAAAAGAAGTCCATTTGATTTCTAAAATTAGCATAATCATAGGCAAAAACCTATCATAAGGAAGGCCTTGAGCATAGCGGATAATAATACTTCATCACTGTGTTATCATTTCCATTGTTTAAGAGCTGCTCACCTCATGCCGTAAGTTGAGGCTACAGAAGAAGCTCTTAACATTCACAAGGGAGAGTATTCAATATGAATAGTTATTCAATATAAAACAAAATGGACTGTTAGATTAATGAGTCCAAAGGTTTAGAAAACATCAAAGGTTCATCCATAGAGTTGGTGCATCAAATGTACCCATAGGTAAACAAACTTATATAACACGTTCCCAGAAGTTATAAAGCACTTACCCACATATATAAACAGATTAATTAACACACGAAAAAAACACACATGTATCAGATAATAACTAAATCGACGTGGTTCTTGAAAACTTAATCAAGTAACTCAATCACCACTTGCCTCACTGTCCTTTCCCAGCTCCATGTAGCTAGGCAATTCAACTGTTCAAACGAAGCAACTTCTTTGACAGATGCATCATGTGCAGCAACTTCTGTAGGTTGGCCACCACACGTCAAGGGCCACATTTTTGGCAATCTCACCACATCCTCCAGTAAACACTATGCTTCCGAGTAGAGCAGAGAACCTATGACAAACAAATGAACTGTTAGCACTTTTTCCCCCAAGTCATTGTCAGCTTGGGGGGAAAATTGGTCACTGCTACTTGTCATAATCTCCCAGCACCTAAACGGTACCTGTCATGGTATATAGTCCAATTCCTAAAGAGCAAACTTTAGAATCCAATACTGCAAGGAACTTAAAACATGCACGTTCCTGTAAAATGTAATTCCAGATGAGAATTTTGCATTCCACATAGTAAATGCAACCTTAAAGGAAAATCTCTAACCAAAATGTAAAAGTTTATGCCACTACATAAAACACCTGAATTATACGAGATTACAGTTTCAATGAAATATGCATATGACAATGCAACATGTGATCTCTACTAAGCATTGTGACTAGAGACACCAGATGAAAAGGAAAAGAACATGAACTTTATGGTCATAACATCAGATTATAAGCTGTTAATATGCGAATACTAGGTTAGAAAGAAATGTAGTTTGTACATAAAAATGAACTAGTCCTTTAAATATATGCCTTTCACTACTCTTAAGTATTGAAGAAATTATATTTCAGACAGTTGATGAAGCACTTCTAAGAGTTGCTCCATTTAATATCCAAAATAAGGGATACCAAGTTTCACACAGATTCTGTCTTTACCTTATCTGCAGACTCGTTTAGTTCCCGGTAATATCTTTTTTATGGTTTTACTCATTCTAGTTCATCAGAAGGAATATCTTCTAAAAGATACTGCAAAAGTACTACCAATAAATTGCGAATTAGGAAAAAAATAAAAAGTTGCAAGCCATGAGGAATATTGCAATCAACATGTACAAAGGACATTAATGTCTCACACTATTGTCAATTTTGGCACTAACTTCAACTATTGCAAATGCACCTGTATTCATACTGCTGACAACTTTAAACAAGTTTCCCCATATGCTACTGTGGTGGTTCGCTTCATATATTCCCATAGTTCTAGAGGTAGAAAACTGAGCTGACGCAGAGTTCATACTATTTAGACTGCAAGAGAAAGATAGTTGGAAATAACCAGTAAGAATAGATATAAAAAAGCTAAGAAGAAGGTAAAGAGTGACCATGAAAATATAGATTTAAAATAATGGGTGTACATATCCTTCATAATTAGTGTATAGTTAAAGAAGGATTTCTTGAGATCATAATATTTGTTTCTTTTACCATACTAGGTACAACACTGCAAAAACATGTGCTTTCCATACTGAGAAATTTTCAGATAGGAAAGTATTTCATTAAACATAATAAATGGCAGAATGTAAAATGAAAATGACACATCTCCATGCTGACATTTTCAAATAAGAAAATCATTTGCTTTAATAAAAAGAACACACAAATAAGTAGAACAGTCAAAACTCATGTGTTCTTTTACCCCCGCCAGTTTCAAGTAGAAAGTCATAGCCTGCACTCTGAGAACAGTCCCAATTATAGGGGCATTAGATGCCTTGCTAGAAAAAAACACACCGCGAAAAATCATCTTTCTAAGAAGGAACCTACAGCTATAATGGAAGAGAACAAGTAATGCACCTAGAACAACAGGCATATGCTGTTGTGCCAAAATTATTACTATATGACTTTAAATGTTAAACATGCATTCTTAACAATTGATAAGTCAAGAAAGAACGAAGCACAAAAAGCATAAGAAAATTCTCTGGCTGAACAGATCCTTCACAGCCTGTAAAATCTATCTACTTATTCGAAGATACAGGGAGGTTCATGCAAAAAGCAAAGTTTTTTTTCTTATTAAGCAGATTAGAATTCAATTTGCCTTGTTAGAAACTGTCACAGTACAATTTCTTCAATTTAATAACATGGCACATTTTTCCATTTGATTAGAGTTCAATTTTTTTCTCTAACTGTTTGGATTGGTTTTTAAAACTTTACTATAGGCACGTAGCAGCATTAAGTAATTATAGGTTAATCAGAATATTTGATAGAAAGGTGTTTCTTATACTAAATAGTATCAGCATGTACTGTCCTGAGAAAAAAAGATTTTGATGAGTGATAGTTAAGAATACTAAAAATAAAAATAAAAATCTTACTTCATAGTTTACACATCAGTTCGAAGAATACCTTTGTCAACTTTTCACAAGGGATATAACAATGATCGTAACCAGAAACCATAACTTTACATGAAAAACTTACTGTAATTAGCATATTCTATGTTGAAAGTTTAGCTTAAAAGTGAGAACACATATAAAACAACTTTTTTAAAATATCATACACAGGCTACCTGAGATGATGCGGAACAGAGAAGCGCCGGATCCCTCAGGTGAACAGTGTCCGTGAACAGTATCTTTCTTTTCTTTTCTTTTCTTTTTTATAAAATAAAAGACGAACAAAGTAAGATAAAATGAGGTTAGATCAGATTCACTCAGAGCATCTAACCTCCAAAAGTAATTGAAGAGGCTGGTTTCACACGCAAACGCCTAATCAAAAAAATATGGTTTCACGCCTATGGAATCACTCCAAAACATCTCTCAGAACTCATATTTTATTCATCAATTTTCCTCCCTTCAAAATGAAACATTACAATCCTTTTTATAGCCATAAAATAAAATCATAATCCTAACTAATTGATAACATCAATTCTAACAAGAAAACAAAATCAACAAAATAACAAATCTAACTAAATAATAGATCCAACAAACACAATCCTAACACAATTTAAATAAAACAACTAAACAAAATAACTAATTCTCGCCTATCTAAAACCAAAATCAAATCTAAAATTATCACAAATCTATCTTCAATTCGGATCAAATCTGAATAGTGATTGTGTCCTGCATCATGAGGGTTTTGTAGATTGTAAACTATGAGCTTCTGTGCACAGTTCCGACAATCATCAGAGCATAGGAAAAGTCAGGAAACTATTGGGTATGAACTGTTTGTGCTTGCCTAGTATCCCATCACCTGGATAAATTTCATAATAATGAGATTCTAGTTTACTGTTTTCTAGAAAGTAATGAGTCGAAGGGTTATCCTTCACAGTACTAAGATAAAATCTACAAGCTAAATTAAATGGATCTAGAAGATGCAGAAAATTGAAGCGCAGACTGCACACCACATAGTAGAAGACAACAAATAAGTGAATAATCAGAACAACAATAACAAAGCCTCTATCCCAAGTGCTTGGGCTCGGCTACATGAATCCTATTATTCCATTCAGTTCTAATTCAGTTCTATTATGAGTCATATCCTCTGTTAAGCTAACCACAATCATATCCTTCTTAATTACTTCCAACCAAATCCTTCTAGGTCTACCTCTAAATCTCTTTGCTCCATTAACTATAATATTATCACTTCCCCTAACCGCTGCGCTAAAAGGCTTACGTTGTACATGACCATACCACCTTAATCGATTCTCTCTCATTTTATTCTCTATAAGGACACCAAATAAATGAATAACCAGAAGTAGAACACTTGGACTATAATCCACAATGTAAATAATAACCGATAGGTGAGGACAAACAACAACTGACCAAGAAATCATCTTATCAGGTTGAACTAAAGTTGCTTTCCATGGCAGATTGGTAAAAGAGAGGTCAATTAAAGGATATATGATGGTAGAAATATCAGACTCATCTGGATCACATACAGTTTTAATGATTTTTTAAATCTTTTGAGAATCAACAGAGGAATAAGGAGCGAAGGTCCGAAGGATAAACAAACCCATTGTTTGTCATCCATCAAAGGCGCTAGGGATGATAACTTGGTTAGCGATAAGGACCTTCCCCGGTAGACAAAAGCATGGTCGCCATCGAGAGGAAAGTGCAGTAAAAAGGCACAATGTTTGGGTTAAATCTTGATGCCCATTGCATCAGAAACTAATGTTTTGTGACAAAAATACCCTTAACTTGCTATTAATTCGCACAACCAGCTGTAAATGACAACTAGATCTGCCACGTGTGTTGTCCCATGGATCTGTCCCAATTTTGGGTCGTCCTAGCACTACTCATAACATTAACAGTTGTTTAGTATAGAACAATATGCATCATTAAACGAATGAGATCCAAGGCTTCAGAAAACATAAGTTTTTGGCAAATAATTGTTTCGTCGTTAGCAAATCAAAATAACCAGGGATCATCCATAGAAGTGGTGAAAGATTCTTAAGCATAAACAAACTTTTATAGTTTGTTCCGAAAAATATAAACCACTGCCATATCTCTAAGCAGACTTATTCAAACCCCAAAAAAACCCCACATATATTGGATAATAACTAAATCAATGTGTTTTATGAAAATTAATCCAGTAACTCAATCCACACTTGCCTCAATGTCTTCTCCAGCTCCCCACAACAAGGCAATTCAACTGTTCAATCCAAGCAACTTCTTTGACAGGTGCATCATGCCCAGCAGCTTGCGTAGGATGGCCACCAGACATCAAGGGCCAGCATTACAATCTCATCACATCTCCAGTTAACATTGTTGAATCATCATCCTTCCAACTTCCAGGTAGAGGAGAAAACCTAAAGCACACCAAATGAAGCATTGATAATAATCAATTTTCCAATTGTTGCATGAAAGATTTTAAAATAATTGCTAAACAATATATGCATACTGGTTGGTTGTGTCACAAACGTAACATACAGCTCGGTCGCTAAACCAATAAATTATCTTTGTGTGCAAACAAATGCTACATGGAACCATGTGGATGCCTCACAATTCTTCTAGATGGTATTCGCGTATATGCATTAGGATTTCTAGAATGCATCATGTCATACATTGTTCTATGCAGAAAATGAATGAACAAATAAAAAAATTATCAGATTGGCTCGCATGGTATATTGCATATCTAGAAAATACATTATTCTTTCCATTTCATAATAATTTTACTAAAGAAGATCCAAAAGGAAATCAAATATGTTTACAGAATCTTGCCTCAGATAAATGTTTATCATAGCGCACAAAACCGAAAAAGCCAAAACAAATTATCGCCAAATGCTGACTGTTGCATCTATTTTGGCATTTCATAAAAAATAACAAGGCAAAATTTTCTTTCACGCTAAAAATCGATGTCACAGAATTAACCCGCCATAGTCATTCCCGCCTTTGACCTCAATCAAGTCACAACCGATAAGTTCGATTATCCCCCAAAGCTTAAAACGTAATCTAAAATTTCAAGTTAACGTTTTTTTTCAGCAAAACCTTTCCTTAGGTGCCACAATTACTACAAAACCTAACCATCTCCAAAAAAAAAAGAGAAAAAGGAATTCAACAGAAGAAATCATACATCATAAGACTTGTTAGAGTTCACGTTCCCCGCTGCACCGATTCAAGGAAGCAACATTCATTTCTATAAATCAGCCCTCTAGCGATAAAATGTACAAAACCGCAAGAAATTAGACAAAATTCAGGGACAGAATCAAAGGCGTTGCTTAAACCCTAGAAATTTCAAAGAACAGAACAAATTATACCTCATAAGACTTGCTAGAGCTCACATTTTTCCTCTGCGCGATCTCAGACAGCGCCATTTATTTCTGTAAACTCAGCCGATTAGGGGCCAGAGGAGCAAAGACGCAACAAATTAGACAAGATTCAGTAAAAAGAACAAATGCTATGCTTAAACCCTAGAATTTTCAACGAACATCTAAAGAAAATAAAGAACGAGAGAAGAAATTACTGAAGTTTTGGGGTTGACTTTGTTTGCTTCGCTCCTTCTCTCTCGTTAGCTTTTTTTTTTTTTCCTTTTTTTTTCGCTCCACAGCTGAGTTATTAGAGAAAGGGAGAGGGTTATTTAAGGAGGAGAAACGCGTACGGGTCGGGTACCATGTTTAACGAGTCGGGTTTCAAACGGATCTTGTTTAAATGGACGGCTGAGATCAGAAACTGATTATTTGGACGGGAACGCGTAGCGTAGGATCCAAGCGGACTTAAAACGCGTAGCGTATTGGAGCTTCGGGTACCGATATTATCTCCGGGTCGGATATTCGGCAAAGGGGTATAGGATCCGTTTAAGTAATAAAGTAGCGGGCTTAGCTAGTCAACTTAACACAAAATCCATAAAAATAAGCTTAATTGAACTGCAAAAGAAATTTTAACATTAGTCCCTTACATCTTTACTATTTTGAAATTAATCCCTCAAAGTGCAATTGGATTCTCAGTTCATATAAGTCGCTCCAAAATTAGTCTGTCACGTTGTCAAAATTGATATTAGATCCGATTCTTATAAGTTTCCAAATTTATCCCTCAAATAATAGAGGCCTCTCATCAAATATGTATTTTGGTAGATGTTTCACCGAAATTTGATCTCTTTGTAAATAACTTGATGTTGGCATATTCTTCGCATTGAAAACTCGTTAAAAAAATACATCTAAATTTTGATAAAAGAAATTAGGGAAAAATGTTTCTGGGCCCCAAAAAAATAAAAGAGATGTGTCTCAGCCCCCTCTTGTTTTTCCCTTGTGTTTCAGCCCTTTCACACTCTCCCAGAAATTTTTTTCCCGAAATTACCATTCCCCTCTTCTTCTTCTTCTTCTCCTCTGTCTCCTCTCCCCTCTCTTCTTCTTCTTCTTCTTCTCCTCCTCTTCTTCTTCTCCAGACCCTTGCCCACACCCCCCACCCATCCTCCCTACCCCCCTCCCCAGACCCCGTCCCCGATCTCCTCTGTCTCCTCCGTCAATATCCCTCTGCTTAATCGATTTGGGAAGACCTTCGATTGGTCTTTGAAGCCCAACCTGATGGGGATTGCTTGCACACAAGGTACAATCTTTATTAATTGAGCTTGAGTTGGAGTTTTTGAATTTGATTGAGTTTTTAAGTTCATTGTATTGGATTTTGGGCTTCCATGTTCGATTTGTGATTAAATTGAGTGTTTTGATGTTGAATTATGTCAATGTATTGAGGATTTGATGTGAATCTGTTCTTTGTCTTGATTTCTTACAAGCAGATGTCTGGTGAGATTTCTTGCACACAAGGTGTTTGATATAATACATTGGTGAGAAGAAATGATTTTATTGGAGAGAATGGCTCAATCTCAGGCGTGTGTTATAATTTGATGGAATTAAACAAGATTTGAGACTGATAAAAAAATCTATGCAGGTGAAAACCCAGAGATGATTAGTTGTTCAGAATAATAGTTTTGATTTGTCTTAGTGAGTGCATTCTGTGGTGAGAGAGGAATGGACAGTTGAAGTTTTTGATAAGGAAATGCTCTATGAAGGAGTGCCTGAAGATAGAATGGTGAAGCTTCTTCAAATTGCATTGAAGTGCATATACAAATCTGCCGATGCTCGACCAACTATGAGCCAAGTTGCCGAGATGATACATTCATTGAAGGAAGAAGAGGATAGATCTGTTGTGTCTGAAATTGATTCAAGAGATGCTTAAAATTAGGGAGTCTGTTTTTATAATATCCTGGAATTTATGTATATGTTCTGTTTGACTATTATTATTTGCTAGTGTATATGTGTTGGTCACATATGAGGAGGTGGAAAACATTGTTTATTTGTTACACTGATGACATAGGTGATATTAGTCCAAATGGTGCTTTCAAACTCAAATTTAATAAATGAGGATGTCTATTTCTTGTTGATTTCTTGTTTCATGGTCTCCTTGACATTAGAAATTAAATAGATTCTTGTCACATATTTTCGTTAATGGACTGTGGTAGAGACACTAATTGCATTATTTTAAATAATGATGGGTGATAATCACATTTTATTATAATTTTATACCCTCGTTATCTATTTTATATGAATAAATATACCACTAATAATTGTTTTTATCTTTTAATTGCAGGTTAATAAAGAATAAAGCCCAAAAATCTCATCTCTCAACAGAAGCTCATGAATTAAATGAAGAACACAAGCAAGAGCCAAAAATCTCAAGCCCAGAATCAAGCCGAGTAGCTTGTAGAAGCCGGAGAAAATAAAAAAATCAAATATGAAAACAAAATATATTCAAGATGGTTAGCCGTAAAGAAATGACGATATCTCTTAATCCGGAAGGCAGAATTTAACATATAATATATGAAAATCGCCTATCTCGACGAGACGAAGCCATCTGTGGAGGCAGATTTTTCATTGGACATTGATGCCAGCATCGATGCAGGCATCGATACCGGCATCGATGCCAGCATCGATGCTGGTATCGATGGCTACGATTCAGTTACAGATCAATGGCTGATTTTTGATGGTTTTGGATAAGGATTCAATTCAAGGGCTCTTACTAATTGATGTTTACTATAAATAGGGGTAGAGAATGAGGGGTTAGAGGAGTAAAAATTTTTGTAACTCTATTTGGAGAGGAGGGCTACTCTTAATTGAGAAGGCCTTCCAAAATTATAACTTTTGTTGTAATTAATAATAATAATTTTTTCACCACTTTAAATTTTTCTCTTCTTCTTTTTGTTGGATGATGAAGATGAAGATGAAGATGGAGATTAATTTGAAGGTTTGTTTTTCTTATTTCTCTTTTATTGCTTATTAGTTTAGATTTATTTTCATGCTTATAGTAAGATTTTATTTTCTTGTTAAATAGCCAAGAGGCTTGAACCCTCTTGCCTTAGATTTATTTCATACTTATAGATTAGATTTATTTTATGCTTATAGAGTAGATTTATTTTCTTGTATTTAATTCTTGTAATTTATTTTGTAGTTTAGATTTTAGAATTTATTTTGTAGTTAGATTTTAATTTCTTGTACTATTCACCTTGAGGCTAGAATCCTCTTGGGTTTAGTTTTTCTTTTTGTTTATTTTTATTTTGTTTGATTCGCCTTTAGGCTAGAACCCTCTAGCGAATCACCATTTTCTAAGAAGTGGGTTCAATTTTAGATTATCCATATCTATAATTGAATCCACCATCTTTTAATTTCTTGCATTTTCTTTTATTCTTGAATTTTATTTCTTTTCATTCTTGATTTTTATTTGTTTCTTGATTTTTTCCTTCTTGCCTTATTGATCACATTCATTCTGTGTCACATCCACTCTCACTTACATTTTGCACCTATTTACACACCATTTTTACTCTCTCAATCTCTTCACAATCACATTCACTCATCACTCCTAATTGTCACGCACACAACATAAGAACCAATTTTATATTTTCTCCTACAAAACACCTTCTTCATGGGATCGATATCTTTATACTATAACTTGACACGGTTGTGCACTTGCAATATTTTTGGTACATGTTTATGCCGCATCAATGGGTCATCTCTGTGTTGCTAGTCCAAATGGCACTTTCAAGTTGAAATTTGACAAAACCTAGCACTGATTTGTATGAAGTGTGTACTCATAACATGTTAAGTTTCAATTAACCATGTTAACGTTCATCATAACATGCTAACTTTTAGCTGAACATGTTAACTTTCATCATAATATGTTAACATTTACTATTACATGTTAACTTTCATCATAATATATTAAATTGAAGCTATAATAGTTACATGTTAAGATTATTGAGTTCTTGTATATCTTTGGCAGAAAAACAAAAGGGAAAAATAAAAACAGGAGAAAGAAAGGGGAAAATGTTAACTATAATAGTTCTATGTTGACTTTTAGCAGAACGTGTTAACTTTCATCCTAGTATGTTAACTTTTCATATTGAATGTTAACTTTTGCTGCTTTATGTTAACTTTCATCCAAACCTGTTAACTTTCACTGCTTTATTTTCGTAGAAGTGTTTAAAAAAAGCTATGAATGTAATTGGTGATTGGTGTAGATTGCTTATTAGTATAATACTTTTGGTAGAGCAATGTAGGTTGTCAAGACTTTTGTAGCACATTGTATTATATTTTTATAATATCTAAGATTGTAAGTCTAATCATATCGTTTATTCAAGCAATATCAGCTGTAAGAATGTAAAAATTTTATTATAGTGAACATTAACATGTTTGAAAGTTAACATGTTATGATGAATGTTAACATGTTCAGTTAAAAGTTAACATATTATGGTGAAAGTTAACATGTAATAGTGAAGGTTAACATATTATGCTGAAATTTAACATGTTCAACTGAAAGTTAACATGTTACGAGGAGAACTAACATATAATGATGAAAGTTAATATGATTTATGAAGAAAGTTAACATGTTATTATGAAAGTTAACATGTAACAGTGAAAGTTAATATATTATGATGAACGTTAACATGTTCAGCTGAAAGTTAACATGTTACAATGAGAGTTAACATATAATGATGAAAGTTAACTTAATTTATGAAGAAAGTTAACATATAATGAGATTTAATAGTGTATTGTAACTTGAAGATTATGTACATGATTTGTATATATTATGTACACAATAACCTCAAGATTATGTACATATTATGTATCATAATATTCAGGTTTTGATAAACATAATTTATATATAATCTTCAGTTTATTATGCACATTAAGTTCTATTTGAATGAAGTTGTACATATTCACATGACAGCCAAAATACATTTAACATACAATCGTAACAAATTACACCAAAATTGATCACTAAATAGACACAATACATTTCATTAAATTTTGATCTAAGTACAACCAAACCATAAGAACACATAATATAATTGTAGGCTGTCTAAAAATCACAATAGATAGTCGATCCCTATCAAGCCCTGATAATGAAAGTTACAATCAGACGACTTTCTGATCTTTGCATCCGCAATTCTGCAACCGCTATAAACACGGCCTCATCTCTGAGATGACTGATCTTGATGGCTGCGACAACAGCATGACTAATATGATATTAGCAACTATTAGAGATGCTGATGA